ACCGGCATAATCGTTATCTGATTTCATAATTTAAACCAAAACTAATACCATTATTAACATTTCTACAATATTTATTATTTTAATATTTCTAAACACAAAATAATTACTGACTATAAGTTAAGTTATTAACACGCATCGTTTTATTATTATTATTGTAATCCCATTTTTTATAGTTCAAATAATCTTCAACCAAATTTTCATTTTAAGCGTGTTAATCATGAAAGCAGATATTTTAAGATTATTACATGTATTTTCCGACCAGATACTGCCTTCTTTTTGATTTATCTTTCAGCTTATCAATACCCGGGGGATTCTTCCTAGTCTTGGTAACCTCCGGCGCGCGACGATCCCATCCAATTTGGTATCGAACCAACATCACGTTGATTCTGGTGGGAGAGTAGTGTAGTGGCATTGGACAATAGCCACACAATCCACAAATCTGTGAACACGAGACTACTCAGAAAATAGATATTCAATATTTAACTCGGGGAAATACCTAACAATGGAGAAGGCGCGAACAATGATTTGAATGGACTGGAGTTGACCGGATGGCATGGCTCGGCCATGCAGGCATGGTCCATCTGAATGTTACGTTATATCTTCTATTCATATTAAATATATTGTTCCTTCTCTAACCTAACCTTGTTCTACATCATGTATTGGTAATTGATACGATACAGTGAGTTGGTGTAGTCGATGGTGTGACTTCCACGTAAGATCTTATAGATTAGGCAGTTATATCATGACAAATCTACAAATTTAGGATTAGGTCTATTATTAGAGCAGTACTAATATCATAGTAGACCGTAATTCTACAAGCCGACCTTTGACGAACTCACTCAGTTTATCGCATCGCGTGCGAGAGTGGCTTGTAGTAGATTTGGACGGTTAGCAAATCGTTCACGAAAAAGGCATAACGTAAAGACGAACTGTCACGTGCAATCGGAGCAAGGGAATAGTTCGGCAGCGAAAACTAAATGTAGTATGTGTTCCTGCGACCGTGCTATTTATAAATGTCCACAGTTCTTAGCGCATACAGTTCAAGACCGATGGTCTCACGCTAAAAGCAAAGGCATTTGTTTCGTCTGTCTTAGACAAGGACATAAGGTTAATGAATGTAAGATGACAAGGCTCTGTAACGTTGACAGTTGTGAGAGGAGACATCACGCTCTGCTGCACACTGACTCGACAAGCAACGTCGTAAATGATAAGCCATCATGCCCGGAATATAGGAAAAGAGTTGTTAATCATACCAGTAAGATACAGAGATTAGAGAACGAAATACGTAAGCCTTATGACGTAGAGTTTTCAGATGCTTATTCAAGTGATAAATCATTATCAGTAGACGACAAGGTGGCTATAAAGATTGTGGAAGGTGGCATGCGCTTCGGCAACGGTCATTTTGTAGTTTCTATACCTTGGAAAAAGAATCCAGATATGAAAGTGGATAACTATGAAGTAGCAAACCGTAGATTACAAGGTTTGAAGGGTATGTTGTCGAAGGATGTCAGTCTGCACATCAAGTATATCAAAAGTACTGAAAGTGATTTTACTAAGACTTATGCGGAGAGGGTCTTTGAAATATATCTGCAGTCTTATTATCGCCCTCGATGGTATTTACCTCACCGTGCAGTATTAAACATGAAAAAACCAGATCTTAGAGTGGTCCTTGATTGTGCCGCCCAGCTTGCAGGGGTTCCCCCAAATGATATGATTTATCAAGAACCCGATACCACTGCTGAGTTAAGGTGTACATTAATAAGTTTTCGCAAGGAGGCAGTTGCAATCCCTGCAGATGTTGAAGAAATGTTCATGCAAGTGAGGGTCCCTGAGTCTGATCGAGAAGCTTCAAGATTTCTGTGGTGGCAGGAGGGAGACATGTCAAGGGAACCATCCGAGTTTCAAATGACATCCCATCCATTTGATGCCACATCCTCGCCGTTTCGTGCGAACTTTGCCTTGAATAAGACGACCCAAATATTCTTTGACGGTTATGATGGTTATGTTGTAGATGATGTCAAGAATAATTTCTATGCTGATGATTGCTTGATATCCATTCCCACTTGTGATCAAGCAAAGAGTTTCGTTAAGCATATAAGTGAATTCTTATGTAGAGGAAGTATACAAAAAATGACCGATCTTGAATCTAGGTTCAAATGTCCTATTTTATTGCATGGCGAATTTTATATAACAATCACTGACTGTACGGAACCTACTCTTGACGATATTGAGTTTAGAAAAACTGCTGTGGTTAACTTGAGTAGTATAAAGTACAACAAGACACCTGTTCTCTCTTATTATTCCGAGTGGTTGAAATTAGTCAGAGCTGTAACCTGGTTTAGAAGGTTCATCGAATTCCTGATGGTACTTCGTTTACCGAGTTGTGAAGGATCCGTTCATCTAGGATGTTTAAAGGTCAAAGAACTTGAGATTGCCAAGCGTAAGATTTTATTGATGGTTCAGAGAGAAGTGTATGGAGAATTACTTAGTGAATTTAAGAACAGCAGTAAAGTAGTAAGCCATGATCTGAAAGGTTTATCGGTGATGATGCTTGATGGGTTACTCTGCGTTGGAGGTCGACTAAGATACTCAGATTTCCCAAATGCTTTTAAACATCCAGTAATTTTACCCAGTCGACACTTATTGACGGAAATGATAGTTAGACATTGTCATAAAGAACAAGGACACATAGGAAGATCATTAGAAAAAGGGTATGGATATGTGTTTACTTGTTTGCAAACATGGGCAGTACATATTGAAATGATGTGTAATTTGATTACTGATTCATTTTTAATGGATCTGTTACGTTTTATTGGAAGAAGAAGGAAACCTCCGGAGATTTACAGTGACAGTGCATCAAGCTTCGTGGTGACAGTTTCTGAGTTAAGCAAGTTTGTGCAGCAGTCGAATCAGAAGATAAACATTGAATTGTCAGTGAGGCCCTCATCCAACAGCATGGGTGGAGTTTGGGGAAGAGTGATTAGGTCTATATCACGACTGTTACCGTTGACCAACAGAGAACAGGTGAAGCAGGTCTCCTTGAAGCTTTGGATTAGTCTTTGTTGTTATTAATGTAGTTAGGTCGAGTAGGCGTACTGTTGTAAGTCCTACTCGTTCCTATGGTGTGATATGTTATATAGTGAACCATGACCATAGGCATCAAGGTAGCTTGTGTGGTATGGAGGGATTTTGGGGGCCGGTGTAAGATCCATTTTGAAGGTTTTATATGTTGGTGAAAATCCCTCCATGTATATACTTGCACTTTGTTCCTATTGATCCCCTTAGTTGTACATTGTTGTATTTTGATTACATTTGAATTGTTAATACTTGTATTTTTATTATAGTTTTTGTTTTTATTACGCATTCACTAAGTTTGTGTTTCTTCCTGAACTGCATCTGCGTTGTTTTACTTGACAATTGTTCTTGGCGGTAGCCATATTGATTTGTTCCTCCTGTTGTGTGTGATCTATCCAGCCAGGATAGAATAACGTTGACTTGTTGTGATTGGTAATTTTTCCTCATCTTCTATCAACTTCTTTATTTATTGTAATTTAGATTTAATTGATTGAACGATCATTGGTTGAATAGCCGGGTGATAATATTTGTTTAGGTAATGATTTACATTAAATTTATTATGAATTATAGAACCGCTAGTTACCCGATTACTTGTTCTGATTTCGACGGGAAAGGGCGCGTGTCTAAAGTCCCCGGTAGGCTATTCTTCAACATCCAAACCGTACCCACGAAATTTGACCCATTGTCACTGTAAATTTCGGCAGGTTTCTGGTTCCCGCGCCGGGAATCGAACCCGGGCCGCCTGGGTGGCTTATATTTCGGTTTAATGCATTCGCCTTGTCGGTTCAAACGGTTCTGTCGAAATCTCACGGCCATAGTGCTTCGGAATTCATCTTTGTGAGCCATTTCACAAACTCCACCCCTGTGGTTGGATGAGGGCGGGTTAAAATGCCACTGAATTTGTCTAGCTGACAGTTCTTTGTCTATTTTCTACAGTTACATCGAAGCAAATCTACAATTTTAGGATTGGTTCTATTATTAGAGCAGTACTAATATCGAAGTGGACCATAATTCAACATATATGTGTCTGTTTTCCGAATGGATGTGTGTTAATGTAACCTCTCGATGATGTGGTCTCCTTTTAATCAATTTTCACTCAAATACATGATTTATTACACTGAAACCAGTCAAACTTCTGCTCGGTAACATAGTTGCTACTGCTTCCAGAAACCTTTGAGCCTTGTAACGATCCCACTCACTCAGATAACAAGATATGCAAACCCTCAAAGAGCTGCCGAATTGATCAGATTGAGTTCATTTAAGAAAGTAGAATACCCGCAGTCGAACTGAGTAAATATCTGAAATCAAACAAAAAGGAAAGAAGCGTGAGAGGAGTAATCAATGCGGGTTTTCAGTGGTGATCGGACACGAATTAGTTAATGATCTCAATTAAAACTCAGCAATATTTGCAACCCACACACTGAAAATTATCCAGAGTTCACCAGTGACTATCTTAGATGAGTAGTTCCCTGAGTTCGAGTGAGAAGCTGTGAACAGTGGAATTTAGCTGTGTCGGGAGTGAGACAGTTACCCAGTGAAGACAATGGAAGATGGTCACTCCGATTAGAAATTAACCTCCTTAGATGGCGGTGGTTTAGAATTTAGGCGTTCGCGCGCCAGAGCGAAAGTTCTGAATTCCGGCCCCACGTGTTGAGCAGTCTCATACGGAGACAAAAAGCTGCCCACATCTTCCAGGATTTCAATGGTGGCTAATATTCATAAGTCCATGGTGTAAATTAAAACACAATCTCAATAACGCTACACTGACAATCCATCTGCACAAGCTCCTTATACACTTATTGTATTTCGAACACAACAAAATCGCCTAAAATATTTACAGAGGGAATAATATCAAAAAGTAACGTGATAGAGTGATTTTCGATGTTAGCGGCAGCACATCAGGGGAACTGAATAGAGAATTGTTTAAATAAAGTTGAGCGGAATGTTCGTTATGGGTGGTTACTTTCCGACTGACTGAGGTAAGTTGGCTTTTTTATATTATTGACAAAAAGTACCGTTTTCCCATATGTACAGTTTTTCCTATAAGTTCTCATAACAAAATGTCTGTCTGTAGCTAGCAGCAATAGAAGTCGATACACATAAATGTCTTTCAGGACGCTCACGATATCCTAATAATGTGTCATCATTAATGCATGGCGGTCATACGTCCTTTATGTGGTCCTCAACTGAAATGAACCTAATTAAGATTTTTTCGGTCATCATTTCAAGCGTACGGAATCAATATATTTGTCAACTTTGGCTGACAATCGTATGAAAATTCACTATATATTTTACGGCAAGACTAATTTAGGGACGACCTTTGAAGGAATCTTGAATGACCTTGAAAATTATTAGTCAATCAGAAGACAGTATAAAGTGAAAATATATTATAAGTAAGTAATGCATTACAGTGGATATTCTTCTTTTACATGATTAAAAAACTTGTTAAGGTTTGATAAAGGTTCAGAGGTTCTGAATTCATAATGCATACGGTATAGAAACTCGTCCATAGGGCTAGGGTTAAAGTTAGAGTTTAGGGTTAAGGCTAGGTTAGGGTTGAGGTGCTGACAAGCGATTGGTTTACAACGGATTTTAGAGGTTAGGGTTAGAGGTTAAAGCCAGGGTTTAGGGTTAGGGTTGTAGCCTCTCAATAAACACCTCTTCTCTAGAATCCGATGTAAACCGAACGCATGTTAGCACGCTAACCCTAACCCCATGGACGACTTTCTATACCGTATGCATTATGAATTCAGAACTTCTGAGCCTTTATCAAACCTTAACAAGTTTTTTAATAATGTAAAAGAAGAATATCCATTGTAATTCATTACTTTCTTGTAACATATTTTTACTTTATACTGTCTTCTGATCGGCTAATAATCGGATTTGCTCAAACGCTTCTCATTGGCTTGTCCCTAAATTAGTCTCACCGTCCCATCTTTTGTAGCCTCTCATTAATCGCCTCCTCTCTAAAATCCGCTGTGAACCGATCGTATGTTAGCATCGTGTATTGAACTTGGTTCCGTGACTTTGAAATCGCTTAAATGCTTCTGATTGGCTCTTCCCTAAATTAGAGTCTCGTAATATTTTACACCGGGATGTTTATAGTGGATAATACAGCGTTGGGAATCGTGTTTGGTTGTCAATTTTTAAACAGCCATTTGAAACGTAGCGATTTTACATTTTGTCCATAAAATGGTGAATATCAATCACGAGAAATCGTGACAAACTTGTTGATAATGCTATTAGTCGTAGGTATCGTCAGGTATTGTTTGTGCGATGACGTCTGAATTTCTTATACAGTCTTTCAGCATAACAGTACTGAGGTTACAAAAGGTGAGCGAGTATCTCATCATATGCCAGAGACTGGTAGTCGTTAAATATGCAATCTTCATTTTTTAACACCTCGAAAATTATAAGATTTTGCGCGCTGTTTGAGTACTGACGTGACTTCTCAAATTACCGATCATTAAAAATAAATCACCAAGTTTAATTTAAAATTCAGATCGTCTGTCCCCTCTTGATATGTGAGTTGTATGTTCGTTTGTTGTTGGACAGTGGATTTTGTGACCGACAACACTGATAGTTGATTCTGTCTCGACTAACGGTTTCTATTTTGTGCTGGAACATCTTCCTACGTACGTATTGCAAACACTGTGAATGGAACGGTTGCTGGAAGTATAGTAAATCGCCTGGTAGGGCGGTTAAAAGCGGAGATTTAAGTTTGACTGCTTCAAAAGCTCTCACTGCTGTATAGTACGTCTACATTTTTCCTCATATTTTAAGTGTCACCACTTTCCATTTTGGACTCTCTCTCTATCGAGTAATATACGTGATAGCATTTCCTCCACTAGTTAATACTATATAACAATAGAAGTGACCCCTTCATATATTAATATTATATCATGCTTCTCAGCCTCTAACCAGAATCTTCAATGTAATTAAAAACCAAGGCTAGGAAATAAATCTCAGAGAAGTGCGCTAAAAACCGATCACACAGGATTCTGAACGCTTAGTGTAAACGCTTCATTAAGTGATGAAGTTCTCACCATAAGCACGAGTAATTCCAGCCATGTGATCATCAAAATCGGTGTTGGATCATCTGCTGCAATCTCGTATGGGTAGAAATATGGTAACCAACAAGTTAGCCATCTGATTCACCAGGTTCTTCATCTCCATGTTCACCATCTATAGAAAAGAGAGAACAGTGGACATAAGTTATTACCCATTGACCTTTACATAGGAAATCGATAATGGTCGTGAGGTGCGATGGACAGGGGTGAAACTACCGGTTTTCATTTATTGATCGGTCGCCTGTCAGATTACGTCGATACTCAAACAGTGCACAAAATCCTATGGTTTTCGAGATGTGGACAGCAAATAATAGAAATTAATATATTACAGTAGAACGATAGCAATAAAGGGAGCACTTCAATTATCAGAAATATAACCAGAAAAAATTCTTTCGGTTAAAGAAGTTACGTTCACTCTTATAATGAAAATTACATCATGATCACCGCTGGCTTTTATTCTGAACCATCTCTCATAACGTCTCAACCCACTGTGTTGTACCGTCTCTAGGACCCCAATCAGGGAGTTATGAATGACCATCAAAAGTTAATTCTGTACAGCTTTCTTTCATACCACGACACTATATCATGCACTGACCACTTCTCGTTTTCCAATCAGTCTCAGCGTCGACAAATAATGCCCCCAAATGCTCTGGTACGGCTGAGAGTGGTGAGAATCAGCTTCCCCCTCACGAAATGCTCTTACATGACCACTCCTAGGGAAGACCTACTCACTGCCTTCTCGCGGCTGGGGTGTAGTTTACGAGGTTGAGAGGACAAAATGCGAAACTCCGGCGAATTAACCGGGTCAGTGGATATGGAGGATCCACCTAGGGGAGTTGGAAAACCGAAATTCCCAACCAATGTTGCTCATGTGTTCCAGGATCCTGAAGGAACAAATGGTGTATGAACCAATTATTGGTCACGGGCTACCATGGGACTGCATCTGGCGTTGCTTCATTGCCTTGTGGATCAGAGGTTTAGGCCAAAGACTCCATGTGTGTCCCCCCAAGAAAACCACCTGTTTTGGTTTGGGCACCTGGACAGTATCTCAGCCCTCACACAAATCGAACGATTTATGTTGCGCATATCTATTTTGTGCGTTGTGTCAATGTTTATGTGTTTAAATAAATAAATAGTGCTCTATATGGAATCCGCTGGGACGACATTTTTAGGACATATCCAAGCCACCGAACTCAGTATTGCAATGTGGTAATACCAATTAAATTATCGTCGCTGTTCTTGAATTCATATTGCTGAACCTCTGCAGTACTGATATAGTATTGTCAGTGGACGTCAGCAATCCTTCGGAGACAATGATGACCAGATGTAGAATGTTGTTTAACACCCTCAACTCAGAGAGGCTAGGTTTCATCAGGATAGAGAAAAACTGCTCTCACTGAGTCATTATCGATCCATTTTTTCACAGACATACTAGTATCACTAAGGCAACAAAGATGAGTCATATTAGCATAAGTTGCTCTGGTTTTCACTATACGTTAGTTTATCTCATCACTCATGCCACCACAACTGTCAGCCATCTACAATGTAGGACCAGGCACATATATGCATCGGTCCAAATTGCCACCTCATTATCACAACAAGATGATCACCAAATCCATAGTAGTTACATGAATGGTAGTAATATATGACTACCCAAATACATGAACTTTTCAACTACCTCTAACTGGTCGTCGCCAAGAGTGAGTACAAGCACAGGCTTCTGTCAGTCTTATAAAAGTGTTTTCGATTTGGAAGGTGCAAAGTCCATGCTGTACTTACGGACACTGACTAAGTGCGGATTGTGTGGCTTGGGTTTTATCGCACATTAAGACAAAATCATTCGAATACTCAAGGTCGAAGAGTCTTTCTCCAGGCAACCGATTCACACCACCATTACCCATTACTGTAGTATACCGACGTGCTCCAATGAGTTGTAAGGAGCTTGTAGAAATGCAGTGCTTGTAAGTGGGACGTTTCGCGAAGTCGAAAGGGACTTTGCTCTCAGTCTTCGTGGTGTCATGCGACTGCAGCCAATGCTCATCTCTGATTTCCGACGGGTTAATAGCTAGTGTTGAGACTAGCTCGGTTTGAATTTTAGCTGCAAGAGAAGCTGTTACCAATTTGTCGACGACAACCACGTATGTCATTCAAACTCGCCTCCTCCATCGTTCTCAAAGTGGTGCAGACTGGACAACAGATTGGGTTGGCTATTTTCTTACAAAATGTCAACATCATCGTCTGTAGTCTATCTAATACCCGTACTAGTTGTTTATTTATTTAAGCACAAACATTGGTACAACGAGACACCAAATATACAAGCGCCACACAAATCATTTTATTTGTGTAAGGGCTGGGATACTGCCTGAGTACCCAGACTGAAGCAGGTAGTTTCTTTATGCAGCCACACTGCGAGCCTTTGACCTAAAGGTCTAATCCACAAAACCATGGAGCGACGTTAAGAGATGTAGTCCCTCGGTAGCCAATGACCAGCAATAGGTTCATACATCATTTGTTCCCTCAGGATCCTGGAGCCCATTCACACTATTGGTTTTGAATCATGGTTTACCAACTACCTCAGGTGGATCCTCTATATCCATCAACCCGGTAAAACAGCAAACATTCACATTTCGTCCTCTCAATTTCGCAAACAACACCCCTGCATACAATCACATTTCGGCTAGACGCTACTATCGAGCTGCATCTTCTGAAGTCACGCTACTGTCTTTAGTCAGAAAGTGTAAGAAACAGTCTCAGAACGTTTCCCTGCTTCAGCTTGGTTTTTCAGCGGTATCCTCGTGTACACACAAATGAGATATCAATATACCTTTGCGCTTATAACGAACATTCGGTTTTCAAACGGATGAGTTGGTGTTGATGGAGCTTTGTTCTCTGAGCTGGATGGTTTGGTCGTGGAGCTTTCATCGTTGGTATCAGTTAGTTCACACTTCTAACTTTAGTCAGTTGATGATGTTTAGCGACCATCATTCACTGCTATCGATAACACACCATTATGTAGGCAAGTTCCTCTTGTAATATAGATTACAAATTCAGTAATTTCTATAAACTTTTTTTATACTGATTTTTACAATTGTTACTACATTCTTCTGTATTGTAGGTTGTTCGTTTCTTTCAAACAAGTTATTGGATTTCATTTGTTTGCTAAACGTCTATCAGTAACATCGACATTCTTGCTTCATATTTGCGAATGTCTCTAAATTTCCCGATTGAAAATCTCTTTGAATGGGTATATTCTATTGCACTGCACTGTGTAATTTTTTAAAACCATTTTTTCTTTTCTAGTTGAGAACTTTTAACATAGCAACAAATGTTTATTCTATACATAATGTTACGGATGGGATTGTATTAGGTAAAGTTTTGCATACCATGTAAGTATTATTTTATGTAATACTGATTAGTCACAATAGTGACTGATTTATTGTTTTTGTAGTCCTTCAGTAGTGATTGAATTCTATTGATTAATTCGGAATGTAGCCACTCATTTATGCAACTTTACATTGTGTGCACTATGTTGCGATATCAGGTGACTTAAGGTAGACGGCAGGAAATCCTGAACCTATGTTTCGTGTTAATTAAAACATTAATAATGAATACCTATAATTTTTTTGAAACTTTCGACCCATGGTATATACAAATTCACACCACCTATCATTCTCCAGTGGTAATGCCTCAAACCATGGGTCTTGGCGATACGAGTTTGAACTCCATATGGAGCGCCTGTTCCTTCATAATTGCAAGTATATCTTGCTTCCAAGTGTCAGCTAGCACGAGATTTAGGTCAGGTAGGATTTGCTACCGACTAGCTTCACCAGTTTGATAGTAGTAATGTATATTTTTATTGTTAATGTAGAAATGACTTTTGATTATTAACACAATTTCCAATAACTGTAAAGCGTCATGAATTCATATTTATTTGGCAGCTTAGTATTTTCGTAACTTTTGAGTCACATTCCATTATAATTACAGAAAAAAAGACAGAATTGTTGCTCAAATGAGAAAAGCTTTTGGTTTTAAAGCATTGTATCTTTGCATATATATACACATGTTTGGTGATCTGGATAATTGACTGTTAACTATAGAACTAAGACGATAGTTTGTGAAGAAATAATGGTATGGTTGGGCTAATACAACCAACCAATAAACGAATAAGAACAGTTATTGATAGGAAAAGTAGTTCACCTAGAATTACAGCCAAGAAAAAAAATTCAGTTAAGGAAGCTCAATTTTTGTGAAAAACGTAATGGTAAGTTGCATTAGTACTATGTCTCAATTCATTGAATTGCACTATCTCTAGAACCCCGACCATAGAGTCGTTATGGGACAACATGAGCCAGTTTTACACAGCTATATTTGATTCCGTGAAGTCATACCATTGACTGACCATTTTTGAGTTTTGAGTACTAAGTCCTCGAAGTTCGAAAATGATGTAAATTGTGGAAGGTTCTTAATAATATTCATTAAATATATTATTCAAACCACTGAAGTCAATGTTTTGTAAATGGTGTTATCAGTGTAAATACTGTCACTTCATCCGAATACATATTTTTGGATCTGGACTTCTGTGACAACGATCATTGAATAGAGTGAGTTTCTGAGCATCCTTACATTGAATGAGCCTGGTCTCACTTATATTAAGAGGAGTTAGATGCAATGTTGTGTTGTTGGACGCGTCTTTTACAGCTCGAATAACGTCAAGACAACGCCAAAGATGTATGAGACCAAAATAAACACATTGTGGCTTTCATTATACACGGAGTAGACTTAGAGTACGTTGTCTTGGAACAACGATTTTTCAAATCTCCTAGATGAAAATCATCTGAATACACCAACCCTGTTTGAAAGCTTGACATTCACTGTTCATTGTCACACTTTATTGAGAATACTCGGAAATTCATCCAGCCTGGCTCCGATCACGATAATGAGCGGAGACAGCCTAAAAGAAGGTTGACCAAAAGCCAGCGTAAAGATTGTGTAAAGTGGAGGGTAGCGAAATCAGAAGAGATTCGAAGGCAGCAGCAAAATTATCGAGGAAATGAATATTAAAACTAGCTGTTAGTGTGACTATTTCGGAAAAAAACGGGATCATTATTCACTCTCAGTCCACATAATTTAACTGATGAACGGGATAATTTAGGGGACAGTTCAACTGGCCTTCAGTAACCCAAGCAACCTGAATTTGAAACTTATGTAAGTGCTTCAACTCTTAGTGTGATTGAAAAGGCTATAAACAATCGAAAGCGGGAGAGAGCAGCATAGTCTGATGGACTAACCTTTGAGATTTTAAAGGATGGTGGTCCAATTTTAGCAGTTAGATCAACTGAAATCTTGTATGGAATAGGACTACTGGGTGTAATCCCATTTGACTGGTCTCGATTTCTGACCTTCCCAGTTTACATAGACGGACAATAATCCTATTATGACGATCACAAAGGAATCAGGTTAACTAATTTATTATCGAAAAAATTAACCTCAATAATACTTCGACGTCTAACTAGAGATCGCGAAGAGCCAATCCCAGAAATCCAGACTGGTCTCAGATTTGGATGTGTATGCGTAGACCGAATATTCACCCTTCGGCGGGTTCTAGGACGTAAACACACTCTTCGACGTCCGACGATAGTTGTATTTTCTGACCTTAAGGAAATGTTCGACTGTGTTGATTGTGAGATTATATGCCGGTATCTGTCATTGAAGGGCGTACCAAACAAGTATGCTAACCTTGTACAGGCTCTCTACTCGAACACTTCTGGTCAAGTCTGAGCTTATGGCCAACTGTCGTCCAGCCTGGTTTCTGTCAATGGTGTTTCTTGGGCTATCCGCTTTTCACATTTTTATTTAACTCTGTCATATACTTGCTTTTAAAGATAACACTTTCATCGTCTAACTTTTTAGGGATTGATCTTGTACTAAGCGATTCACTTGCTGACTTAGAATACTTCTTTTTGGTGAAGATAGTGACAAAATGAATAGTCCTCTGACCACCCTTAAGCAACCATGCAAACATTGGGGGTTCTGTCCTTCCAAAATCCATATAGAATAGTGATGATAATGTAGAATTAGGTTATTTTCATGATTCCCATCGTAAAGGTTTATTTAACCGAACAAAAAGAGACTCAAAAAAAATCATCTGGATAGTAGAATTAATAAAGCTGATCACCCTTAAGGCCACTATGAGTCACTGTGGCCTGTTGTGGTCGGTCTAAAACTCATGAAGGTAGAACTGAATTACCTTGATGGACAGCCAAAGGTGTACTGAAACTTTATACGGCCATTTTGAGACCTATGTAGTGTCAACGGTCATTGGTGATTTTCAGCGCTTGTTATATTTGATACACTACTGCAGGAGTAAAGTGAATGCAGTCATCGAATGATGTGTTAAGATCAACACTTGTGCTAGTTATCGGAAAGCTGGAGGAATTTTAAAACGGTTGTTTAGACAATCACATATAGTCACTCGAGCAACATTACAAATCTTGTTTAATGCTGTCTTAAGCAAAGACATATAACTAGTGAATACAGATTGACAAGGCTTTGTAACGTTGATAGGTGTTCAAAGAGACAGCATTGTCTGTTACATAATAATTCACCAGTCAACAGCTCGAATAATAAATCTGGCACGGAGAATTGTTGTGGATTTACTCACTCTGTTGTGAGACAGTTACTCACTGAAGACAATGATGGACGGTCGCGTAATATCGTGGATTGGTTGAAGTTAAATATTAACACGGTTGAATATGGGCTCAGTGGTCTAGAGGTTAAGCATTCGCGTGTGACATCGAAGGTTCTGGTTTGAGTCTCATGTGTGAAATCGTGGATTCGCACTGCTAAGGAGTCCCATTCTAGGACGAAACGGCCGTCGAGGGTCTCATTGGTGATCTAGCATCGATCCATTCATGACATTAATCTACGTTTCCCATTTGATGAATAATCAATCAACTAGCAATAAATCGTTTCATAATGTTCGAACTGATTACGTTCATCTACTTCTGTCCTAAATAACAGATCGGTTAGTATTAATTTAATCCAAAGACATAGCAAGTTCATAATGAACAAATCTTTTTTATTTTCATTGTATTCATCAAATAACTTTGGTTTTTAGTTAACAAAAAACTATTTCTATCAACAATGTTATTATTATCATCATCACAACTATAGTACTGAACTTCCGTTTATTTGTATTTCGGATTATTCTACTACACTTTTACTTGTACGAGCACGCACAAACTTTTAATGAAGTTATTAAAAGTATTAATTTGATATTCAGATCACATTCATTATTCATTACAAGTGAACATAGAGTTAATGCTGTATTGATTTTATTTTTGGTAAGCAGTTCACTTGGGCTTTTTTTAAAAAAAAGAAAATTATCATGTCTTCAAATTATCTAGAGTTTCCATAGTTACGTATTGAGTGTATGTGTGTGTGTGTGTAACTATGTGAACGTAAAACGTTACAATGACAATTAATATTTATACAGCAGTATACACATATTATTTGTTAAGGTCTTTATAAAATACGGATTAAATTAAAAAGAGACTTGTGAAATGAATGGTTATGCTATATTTAGATTGTGTATAGTAGTAGATCTGCGATGTCAATGTTTAAAGTCGTCGACTTTTAACCTCCAAGCTGCGGATTCAAACTTCACTCTGCGTACATCGGTATAGTTATCAGGGTAGTATCATCAACCCTCACACTTCGGATGTGGCTCACACCTAATTTCCAGTTAAAGTTCAGTCTCTAACACTTTAAAAGCCAGTACGTTATCCACTAAGCTGCTGAGTTCAGATAGCCACTAGTGTGAATTTATTCGTAATGGTTAATACTTTCCAGATGATGGAGACTGGAATTAAATGTCAAAACAGCTAAGTGAGTACGTCTCAGACTGTAAAAGTGGATGACTCGTATTAGAGTCACACACGTTTCATCAGTTTCTACAAGGTTAAAAGTATGTCTTGCTGATGAACACCAACTGGCGCGAAATGTTGTTCAAACAGGACTTTGCACCAAGAATCTCTAATTATCTAACATCAAAACATAACCCATACGATGTTGAGTCATTTAGATTAGTGGCTACATCGCATTGAACAAACTTAAAACTGCCGTTACTCAGTGATCAATCAATTTTAATCGGTTGGTCAATGACAGTATCTTTCATGTTTTTTTTTATAAATGATGTCTGATTCCTATGATCATAAGAATTTCAAATTGTCCTAATTTTTTCTTATATTTTCTGTTTCATTTCAGTGCTCCAAATCATTTCACTGATGAATGGTTGCAAAAATTAAATTATGATGCTGAAATCAATTGGAGGCTGAAGGTGATTTATGTAATTCTTGTGAATGTGTGTATATACCTTCACAAATTTATTATCGTACGTTTGACTTGGTCGTAGTTGATTGCTACCTTGCCACATGGTGGTTGAACTTGAGTATTGTGATGATCTGATAAAGCTATAATTGGGTCGAATACTTGTTCCTCTAGATCCTACTGTGCTACGCAGAGGTCGATTGGAAAACGTTAAGACTGAAAGCAATAACTTAATGTTCGAGTTGAACGTCGTACTGCTGACTGTATTGGGATTTAACCGTAGTGAGGTGTTTTCTTCAGATAACCATAATCTGCAATGATATGTCCTTCTCATAGTGAAAATACCAGGTTAGGAAAGGTCTGCTCTGAGTTTCCGTTACAAGTGTTAAAATCTCACAATGAGTATCAGTCCATAGTGTAAATTAAAAAAAGATTTCCTTGTTGAAATTGTTCATTGTTTTTGTAACAAGTATCCTAGTGGATATATTTAGAGATGTTGCGTACTCTGGGCTTGATGGTTCAGTTGTGTTAGCCGCGACAACAACACAACCCATCGCAACGTCTCAAATCGGTTATTTAGACCGGATTGGACTGTGGTTGAACTATTGGGATTGAGCCTTTGACCAGCAACTGCAGTTGATTTGCGGCTATATAGGCCAGCAGACACTTTCTCGACCCACAACTTGATGTATCTTGTGATAGATAAAAAGTCAGCTCTCAGCCAAGCGCGGCCACAGTATATTGTGCAGTCGCAATGTGCATTCAAGATTCCATTGTTCAAGCAACATGCAGTGCACACTAATTCACCCAGTTGGCTGGACTCTTCATCAATATACGGGCTCAGTGATCCACCATTTAAAGTTGTACACCAATAATCATACACATTGGTTTCTCGAGTGTATATAACTAATAGTAAACACTGCAGTCTAGGATATTTACCACTAAGCCGGTTAACTAAACCTGAATTCATTCAACCTGCACTCGTGAAGAGACTGGTGAGCTCACTATTAGTTCTATGCACTTAGGAAACCGATGTGTGAGATTATTATTGTGCAACTTTGATTGGTGGATCACACAACATCTCCAGCATCCTTATCCTTATCTACAAATATTCCCCATTATTCTTTTTTTCTCCATCCTTTCTCTCTCTAAAGGTCAGTAATCTTAAGAAGATATTGAAAGCTGTTATTGAATTTCTAAATGAGGTTAGTTTGGTAAATAAGATTAGTTTCTCTTGGGTTTTTCACGTTTAAAGCACATGGTTATTGTTGATAATCTCTGTGAACAGAGTGTGTCATTTTAGTAATACGCTGGAATTAAACAGAAATTTTATAAATCATTTATTCATTGCCAAACAACAGTTTCAGTATGATTTTTACACTCTTAAAATTGTGAAGCTAAGTGGTTCAAGTTGTCAATAAAAATGATGATGATACAGGTATACCAAAGCCCATGACCTATGGATGGGATGGTAAGACAAGGCATGAATGCATCTGCATTATTGAAACCTATTCTGAGATATTTCATTGTTGTCTGTTCCAGCAGTTTGATTTTGTGACTAATGCACACTTGGTCAATCACTTATAGTGATAAAATAAGTGTGCAAAAGAAACTGTGCTGCCAAGGCTTAATAATAATGCATTAAATTCAGTTGATCTAGTCAAAAAAATGTGGGTCGTGACGTTGGATAGGTGAGTAATTCACTTACAATACTCACTCCGAACTTTTATCTATCATCTACCATATTGTCTTCAGATAGCATATGACCAGTCACCTAAGGTCTGTAACCGGGTCATCTGGGTTTACGTCACTGCTTAGTTCATTAGGCATTGATTTCACTAACTGATGCTACACTTTTATCTGACCGTCCCTTACTTTCTTCAAACATACTCCTATGTCAGCTAACATTGCTTCTCAAAGTACGCAGAATGGTTAAGGGTATATAACACGTGTCCAGGTATCTCTGCTAATGAAGATTCATAGCCTCGTCAGTCAATTTACTATATTTAAGTTGTAACTTATGCCTGAATTCAATCTGTTCGACAACGTACGAGTGATTCTTTGAAGACACCGATGGTCACATACTTTCAGCCTAAGTATGTCTTCTACCTTCGCATGCCATGATTCACAAATACAAAGTAATACACATTAGATTACTGCACAAACTGCTTTTCATTTGGCAGATGAACATCTCACTCACATCACCGGTAATAAACGATGATCAAAGGCATTCTAGTCTAATTTTGGTGTGGTATGCAATCCTGAGGTGTTGTCCCATATTCAAAGGAAATAAGTGTCCAATGTTCCGCTTGACTTTCAGTGATATCGCAACTGAGGTCAACCTGTAGTGTGAATACCAGATTCATATTTTCTTTCAACTTTATTACGTAACAGTGTCTGTATAGTCTATTGATTGATCTTTCCTCTCAATTGTAATATTTTCTAATCTATACTTTACTTAATGGTAATGGTCAACAAAATTTAATGAAGAGAAAAAATCATTGTAAATACAGCCGTAATTATAAACTGACTACCGATCTAGCTTTTTTTCGTCTGTTTTATTACATCATTTTGAATGATTAACTTTCCCCGAAAACCAAACATTACATACTACCTTTGTGTTGTGCTGATGAATGAGTACTACGTCACCACAATCAGAACATTGCAATTAAATCAATCTAGCTCAAAAAGTACTACACTTTATAAAATCATCCATTTGAACTGCAATTGTTCTCTATCATTTTTCTATGATGTAATGTCATACTTAGTTTCATTAGCCAATAGTTCTGTCTTACCACTGACTATTCAGCTGGAGTTCACATATCTATTCGTTAAATAAATTATTCATGTGCGATGTGTGACGTTCCATGCATTGATCATATTGGAATATAGTTGATCAACATTATCAAACGATTGAAGTTAAGAATGTAAATGAATTAAATACTAATCGAATGATCGGTATGTTTAACACTTGATGTAGTCATGGATACAGCTTTCTGGTATTTCTTAGTTTTCTATAATTGTCTAATCGAAATCAGTTCATCATATATGACTTTGAGTAAATCATCCAATTTAACAGTTTTAACTATTCTCATAATTTTCCATCAAACCAATCTGACCTCTCTTGCATCTTCAATGATTAAAAAAAAAATATTCTTTATACAACTGCTCACTTGTTAAATAATATAACTTCACTTTGTGCAATAATATTCATGTTTAATAGCTAGTAATGACTCTTGACACAATGTTGATCATGATCCAATGGAAAGAGATTGAATCAAAATTCAAGTTTATATAAGATACTGTTTGAAAATAAAATTCTAAGTCATTTATCATCTTATCTATTTATATAATTCAACATTGTACATTCTTCATTATATTCATACAGGGAATTGAAGATAGAATATCTGTTCAATGCCTTCCAAATCTACAAGAAATTGGTAAGTTGAATTTTCTACTTTTTATGTATATAAAATTTTCTGTTAGTCGATTGTATAGTTTTCATTCCTATTTCTTTCAAAAACAAATATCATATTGTGATAATTAGATGTATTTAAATTATAGTATGCAATAGAAATCCCAGAAATAACATAATCGAACCAAGAAGTAATAGATAACCATAAATGAATGTATTGCATTTAGAATTCGAAATCAAATATTCAACAAGTAGAAAAGAATCATCAGTTCATTTGAAATACCACATCCACCATAGCTTAAATTTAGAGTCTAAGTGTCTGTAATCGATTATACGTCGTCTTCTTTAGTTTGTCCTATGTCTGTCCGACATTGTATTGTATAAAAACTTTGTATTATCTAGAATGTGTTCATTAGTATTGGAATTAACAACCGAAATCGGAACAGATTCAATTGGTTCCTAGGATTGTATACAATCGCCGTGTCGGTTGTGTACCGAAACCACTATCTAGAATTTAAAGCACAGATTTCCCAATACTATCTTCCGCCGCGAAATAATGTTGGATCTTCATATCCCCAAGTTACGAATGATGTGGTTTCATTTAAAACATATTTCTCACATTGATTAGAGTAAACATTAGAAGTGTTTTTGTGATAAGGATAAACAGCAGTTGATGTGAAATCATCCGAATTGTAATCAAAATCGAGATCATTTAGTATTTGTGCTTCGCATTGAACAAGTTTCCCACAAGAAACATATGCATTATGAGGACAAATAATATTTGATAGAACAACAAGCTTTGACTCTTCTGAAATAGTTTCCTCGAATTTATTAAGAATGTCATTGCAGAGTAATGAATCATTAGAAAAATCAGCATCTATCAAGACTGCATCAGGTTTTCGACCATGAGTCGGTTCACTAAACATATTTTCCTCAGATGTGCAAGGAATTTCGTCAGAAATATGTGAGTCATTAGGAAAAACCATATCTGGTACAATAACATGAGAAATCTGATAGGTCGATTGATTAGAAACCGTTGTCTCGCAAGAATTCTGAGTTTCATTTAACTCTGAACTGCTATGTAACTCTACACTGTCTATTGCAATCGTTGATAAAGATAAATCATCATTATAAATACTCGACTTAGTAGAATCAGAATTACAAGACTTAATATTAGTTGCAATAAGATTAACATTAGTATTACAAATTGACTGAATATGTCCAATATCACCACATTTAAAGCACTTAGAATTACGAAATTTACGTGAATTAAAAGAGTGGAACTTGCCACAGGACAAACATTAACCAAACCTGTGTCCATCTTCGTGAACTGCATCGCAACTCCTGAATGAATTATCTGCATAACCTTGAATATGCACTGGGTTGAGATGACGTAGTAACGCAGTGGAATTTTTTATATCCTCATGAATCATTTTACGAAATCTTCCTTCTTTACCGCATTCGAAATTTGTATACTTAACATAGTCTAGCAGTAGACCCTTCAGAGTTGTATAAAAAAGCGAAATGGGCTTTTCCGGTAAAGCCAGAGTTTTTAATAAGCTATATGCTTCTTTTCCGATGAATGTGAGGAAATGTGCTACAATATTAACATCCTCATCATCTGCCTTGGTCATAGCCCGAATTTCAAACCTTTCAAGGTAATCCTTAAAAGCGTCAAGATCTGATTGTATATCCAACAATTTCATCACAAGCTCCATCGCGACGCCAATGTTATAATTACGAGTATTTGAATTATAGTATGAACTAAGAAATAACGTAATCCAATCAAGTACTAGATAACCACAAAAGAATGTACTGCACTTAGAATTCGAAATCAAGTATTCAACAAGTACAAAAGAATCATCAGTTCATTCAAACACCACACATATCATATGATCTTCAGTAAACTGCCTCCTTAAAACAATATTTTTCAATAATATATATAAAGTAATCTTAGTGGAGTTTTGTTCTCTGATCCGGATCATTTAATCGTGAAACTTTCATTGTCTTTCCAGACGAAATCATCATCATCATCACAAACTTCAGACAAAAGTGAGCTATAAAAATCTTCCTACAATTGAATAACATCTTATGTTGTCGATATAAGTTTGATCGAATTTTTTAACCAAGTAAAAAGATCATGAACAACTCCCAGAAAGTTGAAAATCGGGTGAACGAGAAACTTAATCAAAATAAGTATATGAACGACAACAGGACACAATAGTCCACAATAACCAGTAAAGATCTAGGTTAACAGAACCAGCTGTCAGTCATGTTTGAAGAAATATGAATAGCTCGTTGCTATCTGAAGTTTTGTGTTGTGAAGAGAAGAAAAGCAATGAAGTGACAAACAATTCAAGATATTTTTTTAGGCATTATCTGACTTAATTCGTAATCTGTGAACTACTAACATATAAATGTATCTACCTTACTCTATAATTCAGATGCTTTCGATTAATCTATAACTTACTGTCATGCTCTCTTCTATTCCAAAGTTAATGTAATTCAAACGTGATCATTGTATTAAATTTTCGTACTGTAATAGTCTCAGTTAATATAATTGTATTCATTGTGTGTTGCGATCTCGTTAGTCCTACATTTTCGTGTTGGATGAGTTGGATAAAGTATTCTGCTATAGTTTTCACTTGCTAATAAATCATCAAGTTGTCAGTGATACGGTAGCTTTTTCCTCTCTCCTCTCAAGGCCGATCATTCACAAGTCAAACGTACGCTATTCAGTCTTCAACATACCAAGTAACGTAGCACAATAAGCCATTAACTAGTTCGAGATAACTTCTCTTTCTGCATATCCATGTATGAACTAGTGGGGAAGATAAGATAACAGTGTCATCGCATTCGTGCTGTCTATGGTGTTGTTCAGAAGGACAATAAAATATTTCATAATTACATTCACACTGCTCAGAGAACGAAACTCCACCGAAATAATTCACATGAACTGCAAATTTCCACTCAACATTGAAATAACGTTATGGATAGATAATCAATATACCCCTATATTGGAAAGCTTTGTATCGGTAAAGGATATTCACATATACACTCATATGGAGTGAAAACAATTGACTACTATGGACTGTCATCTAATATTACGTAGTGCATTTTCAATTTTTGTTTGTTTGAAGTTTTGCTACATAACTGATCTGTAACTCGTTACTAGTCTGGTTAACTCCGCACGGAACACTCAGTTAACAATCGTTTAACCAGATTCCATGATAAATTTAAACAGATCAAGAACGAAAAGGTTTGCAGAGTAAGATAAATACATTTTATTTTGCAAACTGTGTTGTTCTTACATGGAAATCGACTTGAGAAGTGTTGATCTTGAAAAAATATACTTTGAAAAGTGATAGGGGAGGAACGCTCATATGTATTTATCTGACTATAAAAATTTTATTATGTTTTATCCTGATCATTTTGCTCATAACTAGTTAACGTTTTGCTGCAAAGTATTTGAGTCGTATCGTCATGATGACACAGAAGTTGAATGGAATATTACTCTTGGAGAATCATTATATTACTGATTCATGTAGTTAGTAGTGTGATGTGGATTAAGTCGATTTTTCCATTGGTGTTCCAACAATCTTGTTGATAATGATGACATAATTTTGTGTGCTTTCATCTCAAGCTGAACATGAAAATGAAGAGTCGACATTTCGTTTATTACAACTAATACTTGCATGCGCTGTAAATTGTGATAATAAACAAACTTATATTCAAACAATTATGGGGATGGAAGAAACTGTGCAACAAGCTATAATGGAAGCGATTCAACAAGTATGTCTGTTAATCTTATTCATTGTTTTGAAAAAAATTTATATAAAAACTTTATTTCGTCTTATTTTGATTTCCCATCAAGTAATAGAGTGTACATGTGTTGATTGTGTTCGATAGAAGGCTTAATTTTAGTATATTGGTCTTTTTCAAGACTCCAATAATATCGCGTATATTCTATTCATGGACGATTGAGGATCCCTCATTCGATTGGAAAAACGTGGAAATCTTGGACAGAGAAAACTCCAAAAACACCAGAGAATTTTTAGGAGCCTGGAACCCAGGTCAATCAGCAATCAACAAACACCCGGTAAGGCGGCCTGCTTGAGCATCTGGGCTACCTGTTCCTGCCATCTAGATATTTCAACAAGTTATCTATTTTTGTTTGTTTTAATATATCATTATGTCTATTAATCGCATAACCTATTCTGCTGCGTTTCTGAAAAATGTACAACCTTTCGTTATCAAAGTTACAAAAAGCTCAAAAAGAGAGAATATGGTTGCTGGCAATATACAACGAAAAGAATGTACATCATTCCCATGTTCATTTACCGAACTGATGACATCTAGCTGGCGACCACTCAGTATTTATCGCGAGGACCGACCAAGAAGAAAGAAACGGAAACTTGTTGAAATACTTTGTGCTGAGAATTCTATGTTGTACCAATAATATAATATTGAATAAAGCTAATAATAATAATAAAAAATAATAATAAACATATTGAAATCAATCCAATTTACCAACCAGTCAGGAAAGTCATGCACAAATATAGGAACAAAAATCAAACTAATGGGAGACACAACCGAAACAAAGAATTAAACAATGACAAATTTAAGGTCAATAAGCACCAATCAACATCGAGGTGCACAGAACAAGCTGTGAAACACATATGGAGAAATTCGAACACTTCACTTCTATCTGAAGTTTGTGCTGATGATGTCGTTCAGAAGAACGATGGAAGCTCCACGATCAAACCATTCAGCCCAGAGAACAAAACTCCACCAAAAAGATATTGAATATTATTGAACTCACGTCGTATTGTTTGCTTGAATCTTCCCATTGAGGTTGATCTGTCTGTTTTTTGCATATGTGCATGGTGTGCGTACTGCCTCGATATTGCCATAATTCACAAGCTTTATAAGCAAAGATAGGTAATGACTAGCAGCGGAATGGAGGACGCGTGTTGTCAGCTGGATGATCCTGCATCTGAGTTGATGTTCACTCTGAGACTCGAACCCAGTACCATTTGCTTCAAACGCCATCGCGTTATTCACTCATTTACTGAGTTTTGATAGCCACTTGTTTGTGCATTAGGGTGAATTTAAATTTATTTGGTATTGTTTTCACGCCAAAAGCACCCACTTTCACCTTCATGTCGTATTTTTCACTTGTGAGGACCTTGAATGCTATTGGTTCGTTGTCGCTTTTATCATACTATTTTGTAAAGTCCATCAAGGACATTTGTATGCTGGATATGTACACCTGAGTTGTGCTTATTGTTGTTGTTCGTGCTTCTGGCTGCTTGTAGAATACAGTTCTCTTTTCTGAGCCTGGACATATCTCACGGAAACCTAATATTTAGACACAAGTATTTGTATATGTTAACGGGATCTTTGATTCTACCTAAAGTGTTTCTTAGAGTGTTGATTATCATGTAGGAAGATCTAATTTTGTAATTCTTCAGTCGTACGTTGACCCTGAGGTAAAACCACAGTACCAATCCAGGATTTTTCACTAAGATTATTATTTGAAGAAGGATAGTTTTCTTTTAATATGTTTTCAATAATATTCTTGGGAAAAATTATTAAATCCTAAGTTGTTTATGGTATTATCTTTTTCCTTTGGCTTGTCTTCTTTTGAAGTAATGATTATGGTTGCTCTACTGAAAGAATTTAAGGGTAGAAAATTTTTTTACACTGAATGGATGTGCAGAGTTAAAATCAGTATATCGATTTGAATGTATCGGTTTATGGTATATGGCTAGATTTTGACTTCCATTAAAATTCCTTCTAACTAAATAATCAAAGAATGACAGTTTACCATGTTTATCTTGCTTTTGAAAAGTGAATTTGTTATTTTCTGAGAACATGTTTATCTGTTTGTAGAAATTTCTTGGAATATTGTTTGAATCTTAAAGTAAAAATTGTTGAATTGTAACTGTGTGATCTATAATCAAACTTTTCAAGTTGAGTTATAGGTTCAATCACTTACTAATTGATAAGTAGTTCTCAATCTACTGACTTTCATAATAACGATGAGTAGTCACTCATTGTTATTATGAAAGTGTTGTTTAATTCATTCCACTTAGTTTTCACAATTAGAGGTATTGAATGCTGGTAGAGGTATGAGGGCGATTATCAGTTCCCGGTTGCCCACACTGTGGAAAGGTTCTTCTGGAAGTACCTGAAAAGGAAATTGGATTAGAGGTAGTCTTAGTGACCTAAAACTGTGACCGCGCAGTGCCCAAGGGACAGCTGCTTGAGGTCGGCTACACACGACCTTTTTATGGGTAATTTTCGTGTTAGCTCCGTACCTGTTGAGACCTCACCACCGGAGACGGATATCCATGAGATAAGGCGAGGTGTTTATTTTCAGGGTCGACCTTTTCCAACCCCACCCCTCCTTGTGGGAAGGCAGCATCTCTGTTATGCTGGTTGTCTGAAGGAAACACATTACTGCTGTCACACCTCTGTACAGTCAGCAGTATGACTTCGCCTTCGGACCTTGGGTTTGTTGCTTTTATTCTTACCGCTCTTCAACCGACCTGTCTGACATGGTAGGACCTTGAGGAACGGTTGTTCCAGACAGTATAACTCGGTTGCTTCATCACTATAGACAAGCCCGACCACCACGTCAAGGTAGTAACAACGGTCGGCTGACATAAGTAGTATATGATGTTAGTCATGAACACAAGGTCTGGAAGCAGAGAGACAAGACCATCCAACAGTAAAGAATGGAAACAAAGTGGAATTTGTATGAAAATGCAAGAACAATCAAATCTGAGTCATTTTGAGACAACTGATAGATGTGGTATGACAACTTGAACCGATGTATATGTGTGCGTGGTCCTACATTGTAGTTGACTGACTGAGTTTTCACATACAACTGTCTACATTATCATATTCAGGGAAAAAATAGTTCAATGTCTTCAACCACATTGATCGCCGTTATCATGTGAATACAAACTAGAAAGTTTATATCTATCAAGATGATACAATGTCACCGTGGTCTGATGGCATATTCTTGTTTGATCATATCCAGTTTACTTTTAACATAATCCTATGCTAGAAAGCGTCTCATTTAGGGGTAGGTGGTTGTTAAGGATAAATTATATGTATATCGGAAACATCTCAGTCTATGAAAGTACTCAACTCTATGAACCGAATCCGCCATATTTTCTTTCTTCTCTTGAAATGGACCAAGATTTTTCTTAGAAATAATAAGTAAAGATCATATGAATGAAATTCTTATTTCATTTTACATTAGTTCCCGGTCAATACATTTTCACTTGTATACTCTGTTCCGATAAAAGTTAATTTAATTGCCCTTTTTAAATTAGAGTTCGTTTCAAAGCATAATCATTCCTGTCATATACTACTTATTTCATGTATATGGGCAAGTGTATGTGTCTATCATTCAATTCTTATGTGTTCCAACATACATGTCACTAGTACATGTCTACCCCATATATTATCTGTGTGTTCCTAGTCATGTGATATGTATACCTCAGTAGGTATGTGCACACGTGCACTACGTATTGTGTTTACTTTTCTATTGTGTTCTATTTTTTTTGTATATGTGTGTTTCTGCACTCTCTATCGATTTGACCTGAATTTATTGTTTTCTTTGTAAAGGAAAAGTAATTTGAGTACTCTTTCTTTCTGTGAAGTATACAGACACACACACACTTACACGCGTACACACTCACAAATATATATATATGTATATTTATATATGTATTACATCTCTAAAGAAGAGATCGTCGATTGGTATTTGTAAATTCTTCAGTTACGATCATCATTATCATCGTCAGTTGTTTTGAATAGTTAAAATTGTTTACTTCTCTTTCTTCATCTGATGAAAGGTATTCAATTCTGAATGTAGTTTCATTGTTTACTGTATAGTATACTTATGTATTATTATTATTGATTTGATCATTTCTTTTCATTGATTATGCTCCTGATTATAAATGTATGTTCTTTACACAATAATCTTTGTTACCATTACATATTATTATTATTAACATTCTATATGGATAGATGAATTCAATAGGAGATCGTTTTGATTTGATTTCTTCTTTATCCTTATTTCTGTTCTTTTGTTATAATGATTTAGTTAATGTCAACTCGTTTAAATATGAATGATACTATGGATTATGAAGATCGTGTAAGTCTTAGTTGGAAATTTTGTTGTATCTATGCTTATTTTTTTTATTGTGTTTTTCTTTTTGTGTTTTATGGATATAAATTCTTAAAAATTCCGACTAGCTAGTAGCGTGTTTCATCCTGTTTACAACTTGCTCATTGGTTGTATCTGGGTTCTAGTGTTAATGTTTACATTAAGACTTGAACTAAACACCTTTCATTTGAAACACACTTATACATTATCTACTATACCGCTTAATTCATATAAGAATGATTAGTTTATTAAGGTGTTTATATTCTTTAGTTGTTGATGTTCAATGCTTCAATGGATTAGTTTATGTTGTTATAAATGGACTGGTCCGATTAAAGTTGTGAATATGAACAATGGAAAATTACAAATCGTTATTTACAAACTAAGTATTAGAATTTAAACCAGTACACTACAAAATGTGAAACATTTTTATATTGAACTTTCTTTGTATAGAAATCTTAAGTTTAATTATGCAAGAATGTGTTGTTTTTTTTTCATCTTAATTATGAGACTCGTTCTTAGAAACCGAAGATAACATTCACTATCTTTAAAGTTGAAACAATGAACTGTTTCTTTTTGACACATAAATTGTGTGTGATATTTAGTTTTAAATGTATAAATTCTATTGTATATTTGACTTCCAAGTTACTGCTTAGTACAGCGAGATGTAGTTTCAAATTAATCTACTCCATTTTTTTTCAAACACTCATTTATTGTCAGTATATGGTTGTTGAGACTGTCGAATATTATTGCTATCACTAACCGATCTAAGTTAGACAAGCATTGAAAGTCTAGAACCATTACATAGCCATTTCATCAGCCTCAGCAACGCCTAACGCGAACATCTTTACAAATACATTATTCATGCTTAATTTATTATTACTATTGTTTTAAGAAATTTGCCAACTAGTACGTCAACTTTTGCATGAGTGTTTTTAGGCTGTTCTAGAGACGTGATGAAAGTTCCATTATCCATGTCATTAAACATAGCTTCCAGTCGCAACGAATCGGTATATAATGTGTGTAGTTGCTTCACTGTTTAAGTATTTTATTCACTAGTACAAAATTAATTTGTTCATGATGTATACTTAGTAGCTGTATGAAATGAATTCATTGAATACAAATAAGCAGGCGTCGTATTCAGCGCTGCAACTTATTATTAATTAATTCTATAATCCATTCTGCTCTGAGGACGCGTCCACCATCTGTCTTACTGCATAGCGATTAGCCACAAAAGGAAGACGTACCAATGATTCGAAAAAGTGAAGTGTATTTTTTTGTTAAAAAACTAGGAAACAAGTATTATTTAGCCTGAGGTAGTTTTGTATGATATCTAAAACATAAAGAAAAATCAATATATTTCAGCGGTGCCCACCGATCTGATAAAATTTCAAAAAACTGATCCCGTCTCGCTCTAAATACGAAGAAAAGCGAAGGCAGCTTAAATGTAGACTGATATGAAGTCTACAACAATCATGAACAGTGATTGGCAGTGGAAGAAAAAGAGTTAATGTTGTTACTGTGTTAGACAACTCGAATTTTATGGAGGACTGAATAGAGTATGAAATCACCTTCTGATTATCGGTGTTTGACGCCGTATTTCAGTAAAAAATCATCTTTATTCGGTTGTTACAAACAACTTAGGTAATCATAAAGACCAAACAACTATTCTGGGCTTCCTGAGATAAACTCCTTATATCTTGAAATTACTTGTACTACTCAGAGTTACTTACCTCTTGAACCGTTAAAAATTAGTGTGCACCGGAAAGTTATTTCATCCTAGTTTGTGACTTCTCAACTAGTCCTACTGACCAGTTTTTCAGGGATCAAACCCACAAAGATCGGGTCTTGCGACTGGTGCATCACTTTGAACTCACCCTACTTCATCTGTGCAAGATTTCTTATTTCCGACGTAGTTGGTCTTAACGTAAGTTATGAATTTTCACTGGGATTTCAAAGTTATGCTCTAGTGAGCGTATTATTGACATGTTAAACAGTCATATTGCATAAGACAATTTCTACATACAATGTAAGTTATTTTAATAGTTTTGAGTTTTCAGGAACCTCCAAAAAGTGATGATAAACTATAATATGTGACCAATCACAATAAAGGAAAGACATATTAAGAGTTGACTCTATTGGATTAATTAAGTCTTATTATTCGTAATGCAATCATCAATCAAAATTATTTACTGTTATATATATTTCAAATCTATTGCAGTTATGTAAGACAGTGGAACAATGCAAAGCATTATTAATAGAAAAAGAGAAATTGGCTGAACAGTGTAAAAATCTTCAGCAAGAAGTAAGTCAGTGTTTATTCTTACGTCTCTAGTGGTTTATGAATTATCTAGTATCTTGTCACTGACTGATATCTGTTAATAGAGAACTACTAAAAGTCGACTCGCATTGGATAATCCTTTTTTTTAATCGTTCACGTTAACACTACTCACATATGATATTCTTGCCCCCAAATGCCCTGGCACAGCCGAAGGTTGCGAGAATCAGATTACCCTCTCGAAATGCTCTCACATGTCCACACGTTACACATCCACTGTAAAGCAAGTCCCGATCACTGCCTTCTCGTAGTGTGGGTGTTCTTTGCAAAATTGACAGGCCGAAAAGCGAATGTCCGGCGCTTTAACCTAGTTAGTGGACACGGAAGTTACACCTAGAGGAGTTGAATAACTCTGCTTTCAAACCAGCAGTAGACATGGGCTCCAGGACCCTGAAGGAACAAATGACGTATGAACCCATTGTTGGTCACCAGCTACAACACAACTGCATCTCTTAAGGTTGCTCCACTGCTTTGCCATATTATATCAACTACGCCAAGTTAAAATGATCAAAATCGACACCAGAGTTTTAGAATTAGTAACAGTAATAGTCGTAGTAAAAAGGATCCAGTATAGACAACTTGACTCGTAAAGAAAGAATTCATTTGTACAAGAAAATGTATAAGATAATTTTAAAACTAAAAGTCTAAAGGGAAAACATCATATAAATGTGTCTGTACCATTGGGATCCATTTGGATCTACTTTATCAAACATCTTCAATCATTGGTCACAACAATCGCATAAACTCTAACCTTTTAGCCCTACACTTACCTAAACGACTCAAATCAATAGTAATTGTCTTCATAGACTGATACCATATCATAGTTTGGTTATTCAAATGATTTTTCCAATATACTCCAACTTCATACAACATTTTGAATTGAGTTAAAGGGTGGCTCGGCGATAAAGTCAATAAGTTACTTACGCCTGTTACCCGCAATGGAGCATAGGCCGCCGACAAGCATTCTCCAACCGACTCTATCCTCAACCTTCCTTTCTACATCTATCCAATTGCTGTTCATCCTTCTCATGTCTGTCTCCATTTCTCGACCTAATGTGTCCTTTGGTCTTCTTCTCCTTCGACCCTGAGGATTCCAAGTGAGGGCTTGCCTTGTGACCTATTTGGGTGCTTTCCTCAATGTGTTCTATCCACTTCCAGCGCTTCATCCTGATTTCTTCCTCCACTGGAATCTGGTTTGTTCTCTCCCATAGTAGGTTGTTGCTAATAGTGTACGGCCAACGGATCGAAGTATTTTGCAGAGACAAGCGTTAATAAACACTTATATCTTCTGGATGATTGCTTTCGGAGTTCTGCAAGTTTTCGTCCCATACGGAAGAACTGTCTTGACATTTGTATTGAAAATTGTGACTTTGGTGTTTTGAGACATTATTTTTGAGCTTCAGATGTTCTTCAGTTGTAGATATGCTGCTCTTGCTTTGACGATCCGCACCTTCACATCTGCATCAGATCCACCGTGTTCATCAATTATACTGCCCAGATATTTAAAGGTTTTTACATCATCCAAAGCTGCTACGTCAAGTGTGATGTGATTGGCGCATGTTTTATTGTATCGGAGAATCTTGGTTTTCCTTTTGTGTATGTTGAGATCTATTGCTGCTGAGGCTGTTGCTACACTGGTCGTCTTCTCCTGCATTTGTTGTTGCTCGTGCGATATAAGAGCCAGATGATCTGCGAAGTCTAGATCGTCCAGCTACATTCTGGCTGTCTACTGTATCCCATGCTTCCCGCAGATGTTGACGTCTTCATAATCCAGTCGATCAACAGGAGAAAGAGAAAGGATGAGAGTAAGTAGCCTTGGTTGACGCCGGTCTTTACTTCGAACGAGTTTGTAAACTGTCCTCCATGTACTGTTTTTCAGTTTAATCCATCATAGGAATTCCGTATAATATCGACTATCTTCTGAGGCACGCCGTAGTGTGGAAAAAGCTTCCATAGTGTTGTTCTGTCCACTCTGTCAGATGCTTTTTCGTAGTCAATGAAGTTGATGTACAGTGATGAATTCCATTTAATTGATTGTTCCACAATGATCTGTAGAGTTGCGATTTGTTCTGTAAACGATCTATCCTTAAGGAATCCTGTCTGTTGGTCTCGAAGTTGGGCGCCTACAGAGTCCGCCTCGTTTTCCAGTGCTTCTTGAGTTTCAATTTCATCTTGGCAACCAGCAAGTGATTATCTGATGCTATCTCGGTTCCTTCTTTGATTCTCACGTCCACCATCGTCATTGTGCACTTTTTATTGATGCAGATATGGTCGATTTGGTTCTGTGTAATGTGATCCAGTGAGATCTATGTGGCTTTGTGTACGCGTTGGTGTAGGAAGATGGTGCCCATAAAGTCGACAACTATTTCATTAATGAATTTACCATCTTTATATTATTAATTTTTTTAAATTATTATTATTATCAGGTATTAAATTTACAAGACGAAAAGTCCCATCAACAATCTGAATTGAATCGTTTTAAAACTTATTTCAATTCATTGGGTTTAAATCCAGCGATATTGGCAACAACATCAATTAATTCTCAATCATCTCCAACATCTTCAGTAGTTACAGCTACAACAGGAGTTGAATCAATTGAAAGTGACTTAAATTCAATCAATACAGAATTGTTAAATCAATCTGCTAGTTCCATATCAGCAATTACTTGTAGTAATAATGTTCTAATGAGTCCAACTATAGCTAATTTACGCATAAATCATTTACAAAATCAATTAAGTAAATTACGTGATGAATTGTATAGAACTGAGTGTGGTAAGATTTTTTTGTTGCTTTTCTGATTATTTGTCTCTTTCATTCGCCCTCTGTTATTTTGTTGTTTATGTTTCATATAAATGATTTAATTTCCCTTTGAATAATCATCAGTATAGAGTTGTGCATATAGTTGAGCTTCGATTGATATCATGAATGGATCAATGTTAGATCACTATTGAAACATTGGATGACCGTTTCATCCTGGTATGGGACTTCTCAGTAGTGCTCACCAACGATTCTACATGTGTAACTCAACCGCGGGACCTTCGGTCTCGTTCGCGAACGCTTAACCTCAATACCACTGAGCCGGCATCCAATGGTGTTAATGTTTAACTTCAACCAATCTACGATATTGCGCAGCCGTCCACCATTGCCTTCACAACAGACACGGCTTAACTCCACTGGTCATGACTTCTCATTAGAACTACAGGAAATCCATCTTGAGGCTAGTTGGAGTAATCGTAATTAATGATTAGTGCGCGGGAAATTGTAATGACTGTGGAATCTTATAGTTTGTTCATCAATGTTTGTCTCTTGTTGAATATAACCACTGAAAACCATAATGCATTAAAAAGCTGCTTCATCTTAGTTTGCGACTACTCAACGTGTGCATTTTCACGAGAACATTAGAGATTAAATCCTAAAACTCCAGGTCTCGACGGATGGAAGTATTGAACCTTAGAACTCATGGTGTTGCATCCAGTGGTTTGCATATTTACGTCTGTCATTTCGCGATAAAGCGTATATTGTTGTCTGTTTTTAGCTGAAATGAAAACCTTAGGTAAATGAGTTTTTCTGACTTGACAGTATCAATCAACAAGTTTTTTTCTCACAGTTGGTTGTTTTTGCTTCCAAATAGTTCAACCAATCATATGATACTGTCAAAACAGCGAAGATTTTATATGCCTGTGGAATTAGTTCTACCTGTCAACTACTGTTATCTTACGGGTATCTTTTTTTGAGAATTTTTAGGATGACGATTTGTGGAAATTGTATTTAAGTACTCGCTATATAACCTGTAGGTCTCTGGGAAGATTGTGAACACTCACTTCTAACAAATGCAATATTAAGATATGAAAGTTGTATAGTGTATCCTGTTTCTTAAAGGTTGTTCAACCTAAGTTCCCTTCTACTTGTACTGTAGTGAACGAAAATTCAGGAAAGGTCTTACTCAAAGTCAAAAAGTACGTTTGTAAAATATGAAAATCGTGCATTATGTACATCATTTGTATATCTTCCTTCAGTTGCCCTTTGCATACTCATTGTTCTTCCAATCCAGTCGTTATTTCAATTGTTTTCTGTTTTCTTTCCTCTTCTGTTCATTCCAATCTCCTACTGATATTTTATTTTATTTTCCATTTTTGCCTTGTACTACTTATATATGTTCATATAAGTAGTGCACACCATAATCCAATTTATAACACGAATAATTCATTGAAATGAAGGGCATGGTTTGTAGCTCATGTAGATGATTTTAGTGGAGTTGTGTTCTCTGAGCATTATAGTTTAATCGTGAAATCTTCATTAAATTTCCAAACGAAATCAGTACAATCTTCATATACCAGTGAACTATTCAATTCTCCTCGTATGCGATAAACAGTTTGTTCTGTCAACTTTCCACTGTAATCTTTCTTGTAGTTTTGGAGCAGCTTATCTTTGTAAAGAAAAATATGTTCAGTCAAATCGTAAACAACTATAAAACTTAGAATCAGATCAAATAAACAAGATAATGTATGAACAATCAAAGGGCAGTGATCGAAAATGGTAAACATCAATCGAAGTTAGTATTGACAAAACAAGATGCTTGTAGTCAATTGTAATAAAATTTATCCAGCTTATTTTTTTAATTTCATGCTGATAATGATGTTATTATCTAAAAAATCAGTAAATGCGACTCAACTCATGAACCGATCTATGTCAGATCATTATCGGAAGGTTAGCAAGTACTGAAAGGCTGTTTCGTTCTAGTTTAAACCCCTTAACTGTGTTGTCCTCGACCCAAAACTCAAGACCGAGAGTGCTGGGTTCGATTCCCGCGTAGGAGTTAAATACCAGGCCTTCAATGGCAATTTCAATGAAATTCAATAATTTCCTCAACCTTTTACTGAAAGTTTCGATGTCTAATCTTTTCTATTGTCATTAATATACTGTTTATTTCCTCTACTACTCTGTTATGTGATCTGGAAATTTCATATCACTGTACTTATCCGCGTTATGGTAATTGAGATCGATATGCACACTTGTGTCAGTTTGGTGTGTGCTACTTATACGGACAGTAGTAGTATGTAACAGGAATTGAAAATGAAATGTATATCATTAGAAGATTGGAATAAAGTGAAGAGCAAAGGAAAAAGAAGGCAATTGGAATAACAACTGGATTGGAAAAGTGATGGAATATGTAAAGGACAACTGAAGGAGGAAGATATACAAATAATGTATTTAATGCACATTTTTTATATTTTACAAACATACTTTTTGACTTTGAGTAAAACTACATAAAAAGGGTTAAATTGATTTTCCCGTCTTGGGTTCTTGTTCACTGCACCTGATTCGGTGTATGTTGAACTGATCTACTTACTATTAAACCATCCAGTTAAAGTAATGCTACTTAACCGTAATAAGATATTCATTATTTTTATCACATATTCTATTCCTTGGGCTTAATAGTCACTTAATGGTTGTTTTCTTTACTTCATCTTCTCTCTATTTTACAAAATAATGATTTAGATAAAGAAGAACTAAAAATTCAATTAACCGAAATCACTGCACAAAATCTTGAATTAAAACAAAAAGTAAGTAAATAATAGTTATTAATGTTCAACTTTTATTAAATTTAATAGTATCAACTATATTGACGTGTTTACTTAGCATTGATCTAAGAGTTATACACTTGGTACCACTTATACTAGTTTTGTTTGAGTTAGTGCATGTGATGTTCATATTCACTGCCATTGAGTAGTCTTTTGTCAGGACGAAACAGTCTTTTACTGTTTCCCAATCGGCATTGAATGTTTACCTAAGGTTGATAGTTATATTACCATTATGAACTTGTCGACTTCTTTTAAATAGATTACATGAAAACTCATAGTAGAATATAAATTCCGTCATCCAGTGTCAAGGAGGAGATAAAGAGAGATATGTATGTGAGTTTGTATTGATAACACATATTACCAGTGTCGAATATCTTGATAACACTGACTAGTTGGACCGAATAATTATTATGTATGTATGTATGTAGTTTGATAGCTATCCAATTAGAATAATACAAGATACAACTGGTGTATCACGTGTATATTTGTTGGATCCACTAATCTGTAGGTACATTCTATGGCGCATATATACATATGCTTGACAGTTGATCATATCCCCTTCATTCATGCAAATTACCATGATCTTCTTAAGTATCAATACTGTCATGATTACTCCTAATAAAATGTATGTTTAATAAAACAAAAAATTTTATATAACTAGAACAATAATTTAGCGGTAATTTTGACTTAGTCACTCAGTGGATAACGCAATAGTTTGTCAAATGAAAGATACTGGATTTGAGTCAAAGTAGGGAGATTGAATATTTCTATGTAAAACATCTGTCCATTGGTTTAATACTGAGCGGTAAAATTAATAAGATTGTTAAAATTTGATTCTATCACTTATTAAACGAACACAAACAATGAAACTTCCAGTATAGTAATTATATAAATCAAATTAATGAAGTATGTAGAGTTAGACATTAGTTGAATGCTTAAATAATTCTAAGTTTCAATAATGCTCCAGATATTTTAGTTTATTCGCCGAATAGTCGTATTAAAAAACCTGGACACGTATACATGCAACTATAGGATGTCTGAAAGTCAGTTGTCATATGAACAAAGGTCTGGGAACTAGAGAGGGTACCAACGTCATGGAATGAGTCGATAGTTGTCCCTATCTTTAAAAAGGGTTCACGTCGTTCCTGTAACAACTATCGGGGGATAAGTCTACTTCCGATTGCGTCCAAGCTATTGGCTTCCGTCATACTTCGTAGGTTGTTCAAAACCCGAGAAAGATTGACTTGCGAGGAGCAGGCTAGTTTTTGTTCCGGTCGAGGATGTATTGATCATATATTCACCCTCCGCCAAACGACTTCCTGACTGGGGTCCGAGAGATGGTGCAACACAGTGGCTAGAGACGTTATCAGATATGGCTCAGAATAGGAGCCTGTGGCAATCCTTCTGTAACCTTCCTTTACTTTCTTCATAAAAAGTGGTTGCTTCTTCCTTAACTGAAAAATCTCTTCTGATTGTACGTTTTTGTTTCCCCCATTATTATTATTATTATTACACTACACTACACTGCACTAGTCTGTTCGTTATTGTTCTTTTTTTTCTAACGCTCCTAACTTTTCTTTTTTTTTCCTTCTCTTCAAATTCTCATTGTTTTGTGTGGCGCATATATATTTCGTGCCCTCTTTTGTTTTCAAATAAATAAATAAAAATATGAACGAATCATTTTTAGGACAGTCATCAAGAAGTCAAGAAGGTACTAGGTTGAGGTCATGTATGCCTACCACTATTGAGGAGTTTTATGCTAAGTTAAAACAACTATCCAGTTATTCCTTGTGTTCAATGATCAATCCATGTTCCAATCTGTAGAATTCAACAACTTTAGCAAACCAATTTACACAAACACTTGATAAATAATTTAAATTAATACATTACAACGGAACATTAATGTATTGAAATGTTAATCATGCACATAGATGCTCTATTCAACTGTCTTCTTGTTGTTGTATCTTTTCACTCTCCTTCACTTTCTACCACTGTAGTGTACCATTTTAACGGCAAAAGCAGAAGAAAGTATTCATTTAAAAGATGAATTAGATATTGCTCGTGAAGAAGCATCTAATATATTACGTTTATCTACAACTATTGAACAATTACGTAAACATGCTGATGAAGTAGTTAGTTTACGTTTACGTTGTTCACAATTAGAAAATGATAATCAAATTTGTGTACAACGTTTAACTGAATTAGAACAAGAAACACGTTTAGATGGGAATATACGATCAAAAGTAAAAGCTCAAGCACGTTTACAAATAGAAGATGCACAATTCTTAGCAAATGAAGCAATAAAACGTGCTGAATTAGCTGAACAAAATTTATTAAAAATTCGACAAGAATTAATTAATGTAAATCGTGAAAAAGAGGTATGTATGTTTTTATTTTAGTGTGAGGTTATGTTTTATGTTTCGCTTTTCAGTTTCATAAACCATTTGATACATTATTGATGTCATTGAATATTTCTTCACTTCTATTATTATCAGTATATATATAGGGTTGTGAAGTGTTGTTTCTTCCAAGTATGGGCTCCTCAACAATGTTCATCCATGATATTATTTACTCATTTTCTTGGTTTACATCGATCAGGATAAAAGGACGAATATACTATGCGGCAGTCTGTTCTGTTTTAATTTACGGCAGCGAAACATGGCCATTAAGACTAGAAAATACTGGTAAGCTACTAGTATTTGACCACTGATGCCTTAGAAATATTGCTGACGTCTGCTGGGATCACCGGGTAAGTAGTAGCGAGGTTAGACACAGGGTAATAGGGAATGATGGCAAATCAGTTGATGGGGTTGTGAATCTTCATCGACTGAAATGGTTGGACCATGTGTTGCATTTTCCCGTTATTCGATTGATTTGTTTTGTTAATCAAAAGCCTTTAAGTATTGATAATCAGTTTGATAATTCCACATGTAATGTAGACAAATGTAGCCTGAATAGCGACACCTTTTCATTAGTCAGTCAGCTACAACGTAGGACCAGGCACATATATACAAGTCCAAGTTGGCATACCTCATCAACACAACAAAATGAACACCGGATTCATAAAAGTAGTTTATTCAGAGGTGGTAATATATAAAAGAAAGATTTTATGAAAGGATATAGTACAGGAAGAAAGAATTAGTTCATAGAAAGAAAGATATGAAGCGATTTTAATCTCTTAGTTTAAGGGAAGACAGAGAGTGTATACACCGACACCATTGTAATCGATTCTGAGCCATGTCACCAAGAGTCTCCAACCATTGGTTACAATAGTCACGCGGATCCCAAACAAGTAGTCTGCATCTACCAACATGGCTCAGACTAGAAGTTAATGACTTTACGGGCTGATGCCACGTTTTGGTTTGGCCGCCCCTAACTTTCTTCCAACCATCCCCAACACCGGTTAGCATTGCACGTCGTGGTAATCGATGTTTACGCATACGCAACACATGGCCCAACCATCTCTATTTTATAGGACAAACGACATTAAGAATATAAATGAATGGCATCTTTTAGTGTTTTGACCCTGATTTTGTTTTGCCTATGAGATTACTTCTTTGATCCATACATGTATATATTCATTTAAAAATGCCTGGTTATGTCTCAAACGTTTATTTCGTCTGTTGTGTTTATATATCAATGGGAAGTATATTCATTCTTACATGACAAATATATTGATACTTTAGCACGTTTCCGTTTCTGTTTCTCCGTTATTTTTCAGTGTATCTTCTCTGAACTTACTCGTCTTAAATCTTGTTGTGAAGGTCTTCAATCATGTGCACAAGCATCAAATTGTAAGTTTATCCTGTGGAATTGACTTATTAATTAACTTTTTGATTAAAAAGTATCCTACTTATCGATGAGTACTTCATGAATGAATTTCGCATTTATTCCATACATTTTAAGATCTGGTGATCTCGAATACTGTTAAGAGGTTATAGAGGCGGACTTCACCTTCCGGTAACTCATACCGTTTAACGATGTCTGTTTTCAAGGACTTGAAAAAGAAACTGAATTGAGATTAGTGGTCTTATCAACCGGGCCCTAAATACCCATGCACAAACGAGAGTGGGGAAAGTCCTCCGTCCCTCTCAAAATGCTCTCACACGGCTACGCGTTTACGGCCAATGTTAGATAATTCCTGCTCACTACCTTCTCATGGCGAGGGTGTTGTTTACAGAATGGAGAGGACAAAAAGCAAATATCCGGGTTGGTGGATATGAAGGATTTACGTACAGGAGTTAAAAACACTGATTCCAAACCAATGGTGCACATGTTCTCCAGGATGCTGGAGACAAAATACGTATAAATCTACTGTTGTTCATTGGCTACCGAGGGACTGCATCACTTGACGTTGCTCCACTGCCTTGTGGATTAGGTCTTTAGGCGAAGGACTCGAGGTACGCCTTCCTAAGAAAAGTACCTTCTTCTGTTTGTTTTCTCGGGTAGTATCCCAGAATATATATTTGATATCTCCTTGATACAACGTTTATATTGTTTAAACAAATATAACTTGTCAACTTGGAACCATTGTCATAAACTCGAAGGAACATATATATATAACACTAATATCAGCTTCCACTCTATGGACCATATATTTCACAAATACTTGATTTACATCCATGCAAACCAGACCACATTGCATTACATAACAAATAAAAGATGACAACTATACAATATCAAGTTCAATGTGACTGTCATTGTGATTGGGATAAACTTATGAATAATAATTTGTATGATGGTAGTCAAAAAGTCAAATAAAAACTTATGATAAAAGTAATATAAATACATATAATCTAGTTACTTAGTCGTTATACCATATGAATATATGTATATATACATCATAACAGTCCATGAATAGTCCCTATCAGTTGTCGTTCTTTTCGAATATAACATAGCCTCTTTACGGTGATTCGCTTTTCATACGTTAGATCCTTAATTTACAGACCACAACAATTGACAGCGGAAATCAACGGTACACGATGAGGTATGAGAGGGCAGTATCTCTCCAGATTGTGGTTGCTTCAGTTTAACACCCCAATTATGTCACATCTCTATGCTGTTGGTAGTACAACTTCTCTTGCGTATCTGTAATTGTACTACCCTTTCACTAGACTGCTTGGCATAGTCAGACCTTAAGATGCCAACGTTCTAGTCAACATACTCGAATGAATCACATCACGATGAGCAAGGCTCATCATCAGGTTAGAGTGGCCGCTATTGTTGGATATTTGCTGACTAATTGAAATTCTATCTGTAAGAGAAGTATTTCTACGAGGTATAGTTTATTGTACCTGGAATCAGATGAATCATTGACTCATTCTGTGGCATTGAACTAGACTTCTCGTTATTGAGTCATGTGGATGAGCAAACTTACAGTTTGCATAAATTATTGTTTTGAAGTGAAGCTCTCGCTCAACTTTGAACGGTGTACATTAATTAATTTCATCCTATTGGGTTAGGTGTCATTAATTTTGGTACTGTGTTGGTTTTTTGACGCTGAGAAAAATAGTTATGTTCATCATTGTGAGCTATTCAGTAATTTGTTATTATTGAAATCATGAACCAATGTAAATCAGGCAACTGTTGAGCATTGGATATATGTTTCATCTTGCTTTACTGCGTCCAACTTGACCTGTAGAACTCTGTAAGTCGCAAGTTTGAAGACAAAGGACTAGTGGCAAGAAATGTTTTTCCAAACAGTGTCACGTATGGTATAACTACTTAGGTATTTATAGCTTACAATAAAAACGAAATCATCATTACAATGATCCAATCTATGTGCAGTAATTTTTAGTATCTGTCCAATCGGACAGTTATACGTCAAGATTCTGGAATGTTCTTCGAAAACATGATTGAATGGAATGTCTTCGGCTCTTTTCGAGCTTCTTAGGGCCTTCTTGAGATTACCGGGTGTCCATCCTAATATTGTGCTTCTTAGCAGTGGTTATCTATAACCTTAGCATTCATCTAGCCCATAATCTTCAGGCCTTGCACCAAAAGCTTAGCATTCAGATCAATCAATAGTTATCTAATTGTTCACGTGTACCTAACTTGAGTTCATTTGTGATTATTGTATAATTTAACTTATTACAGTATAGCTTAGAACAGAAACAATCGACCCCGTTTCTTCTATTGTATTGTATTGTTTTTATTATACACTCATTCATGTGATGATGATATTGAGTTAGTTTTTCTTTTGCTACATTTCTAACTGAACTGAACCTTTTAACTAACTACTATTTCTGTTCAGTTACTTATTGAATTTAGTACACTCAATCTCTTCTTTGTTTCTTTACTAATGAGTATTTTCTAAAAGGTCTACATGTGTTTTTATCTTTGTTAATGATATTCATTATAATCTTAAGTAAATTGTTTTCTGTTACTTATCTACTAGATGATACACCAGCAATGGAATCACAAATGTTAAATTTACAAGAAGAACTATGTCGTTTACGTACATCAATGTATGTTAATGATGTGAATGGTGGTAACAGTATGAACGAAGTTGGCAACAATACTACTACTACTACTACTATTATGACCAGTATATTAGACAATGATACTGGTTTTGTTGATGATAATGATGTTCATCATTTCAATATGTCTTTAACATCACAAAACAAACTGAATACTAATGATAATGATTGTCATTCATTCACTGTCAATGAGAATGATTCTTCCAGTACACATAATTTACAAACATCATCTACAAATTCTTATCATATTCATATTGATAAAGATATGAATAATCCACCTGCCGTCACTACATTGTTATATACAAATTTAATGACAAAATTAACTCAAAAAGAAACAGATTTCATTGAAATGGAACAAAAATATCGTGGTTATTTATGGAAAGCACGTGAAGTGATACGATTGTTAGAACGTCAATATCGGCAACATCAACATAATTGTCCACAATATAAAGAGAAAATAATCATTGATATAAACAATACTAATAGTACTGATACTAACAACAATAGTATAAATTGTGATAAATTAAATGAAGAAATTAATTATTTACGTAGGTTATTAGTTGAAAAAGAACGTGTTATTGAGAAATTAGAGGTAAGTAATGTTGTTAACTGTTCTAAAAATGATAACTTCACATATGAGTGATTGATATTTTATCGCTAGAACCAAATCAATTTCTATACGAGTATTAGGTACTTCTGTACTCATTCATGCTCCCAAATACTCTGGTACGGCCGAGAGTGGGAAGAGTTCGCTCTTCCTCTCGAAATGCTCTCACATGGCCACACGTACACAGCCTCTGACAGGGAAGTCCTACTCATTGTCTTCTCGTGGCGGGGGTGTTGTTTACGAAATTGAGAGGAAGGAAAGCGAATATCCAGCACTTTAACCGGGTTGGTGGACATGGGGAGTCCGCCTAGGGGAGTTGGAATAACCTGATTACAAACCAATGGTGCACATGGGCTCCAGTATCCTGAAGGAATAAATGGCGTATGGACCAATAGTTGGTCATCGGCTACCATGGGAGTGCATTTCTTTGCGATGCTCCACTGTTTTATGTATCAGACCTTCAGGTCGAAGTCTCCGAGTGTGACCTCCTAATGAAACCACCTGCTTCGGTTTGGGTGCTCGGGCAGTCTCACAGACCTCACACAAATCAAATGAGATTTATGTAGCGCATATGTATTCAGTGCCCGTTTTGTATCAATATCTATGTGGTAAAATAAATAAATTAACGATTTCTAGGCGTTTCAGGAGTTCTAGAAGACTCTCAATAGATAAATATATGATGAAACTGCTTAGTGTTAACTTCTTGTGTTAATTGTTCATTGCTTCCTTTTGTTTCAATTATTCATGTTTTGTTACATTTTTTTGAATTGTATTCCTTTTTATAATATTTATAGACTCATCATGAACAAATGAGACGTCATCATGAAGCTGAAGAACGTATTCTTTTAACTGCATGGTATAATTTAGTAATTAAATCAACTAAAAACTTAATTGAATCCGATCTAAAACAAAATTGTCATAATTCTTCTCCTGAAAAACTCAATCATTTTCTATCATGTTGTAATACAGAAACTAATTTATCATTTTTAACTCGACAACGTAATGTTCATTTGAAACCCCCAACTGATTTAACTTCATTAGTGATGGCAACAAAACAGTAATTGGTTGTTGTTGTTGTTGCTGTTGTGTTTTTTTTTTTGTGTTTTGTACCCATATATACCTTCATTTCTCATTGGTCCACATTATATTTTCTCTTATTCTTTGAGCATTTCACTAGGATTGATGATCATTGAATTCTATTTTTTTCAGGATTACAATCAAGTTTGTTTTCCGCATTTCAATTCTTAAGTAACCTCTTCCTACTTTCAATGCAGCTATTCTACAAATTCATCAAATATATTTTATATCATGATTATTTCATACTTACCCTTTGAAATTTGATCTGATTGATTGTTCTTGAAATGATCTTTAAATGCAAAAAGTGATGATCCCAATCATTGTCAGTTCAATTACTCATTATTGATTGAGTAATTTGATTTGGAGTTTCATATTGATTCTAAATTGTTTCTCACTTCATATTTACATGAATCGTTGTACATATGAAGCATTGGATAATTCAATAATATTTCCTTTTCTTTTCCATTTGAACGACTGTTTTTGTTGTTGCTAATTTTACTGTTACATTTCCTGTTTAATTCATTTTTTTGTAATTACTCATTTATAATATATACTTACTTACTTCCTTACTTACTTACTTTACTTACTTTACTTACTTACTTACTTACTTACTTACTTACTTACTTACTTACTTACTTACTTACTTACTTACTTACTTACTTACTTACTTACTTACTTACTTACTTACTTACTTACTTACTTACTTACTTACTTACTTACTTACTTACTTACTTACTTACTTACTTACTTACTTACTTACTTACTTACTTACTTACTTACTTACTTACTTACTTACTTACTTACTTACTTACTTACTTACTTACTTACTTACTTACTTACTTACTTACTTACTTACTTACTTACTTACTTACTTACTTACTTACTTACTTACTTACTTACTTACTTACTTACTTACTTACTTACTTACTTACTTACTTACTTACTTACTTACTTACTTACTTACTTACTTACTTACTTACTTACTTACTTACTTACTTACTTACTTACTTACTTACTTACTTACTTACTTACTTACTTACTTACTTACTTACTTACTTACTTACTTACTTACTTACTTACTTACTTACTTACTTACTTACTTACTTACTTACTTACTTACTTACTTACTTACTTACTTACTTACTTACTTACTTACTTACTTACTTACTTACTTACTTACTTACTTACTTACTTACTTACTTACTTACTTACTTACTTACTTACTTACTTACTTACTTACTTACTTACTTACTTACTTACTTACTTACTTACTTACTTACTTACTTACTTACTTACTTACTTACTTACTTACTTACTTACTTACTTACTTACTTACTTACTTACTTACTTACTTACTTACTTACTTACTTACTTACTTACTTACTTACTTACTTACTTACTTACTTACATACATACATACATACATACATACATACATACATACATACATACATACATACATACATACATACATACATACATACATACATACATACATACATACATACATACATACATACATACATACATACATACATACATACACACGCACACACACATAAATACATATACCTGCATAGGGTCGTCCATGAGAATGTCAAATCGTACTCTGTTTTAGGCAATCCATTCCAGTTTAATACCAAGTGATATTCGAAATTTACGAAATTAGGAAGTATGATAGTAAATATCATGTAAATTATTACAAATACATGTAAGCTTCAGTTCCTTTATGGCTGTGAGGCCAAATAAGATAATAACGTAAGATCAACAAATTACAGTAAGTGCTTTTAGAAGTTTACACGAATAATAGCTATGTGTCGTTGTGACCATATTTTGTCATTACTGGATTCTTGTTTCAGCTGAATTTGTCTTTCATGAACACTGCTATAGGCCATCACGTGAGTCTATCAATCCAGGTGAAAATATAACTAAAACCATGTGAAATCGTCAGCGGTCCGACAATATCGACATGCATATGCTTGAACGTGCTATCAGGATGACGGAAAAGACCTACTGCGGAACTAATGTTACGATGTATCTTAATTTAGCCATACAAAACACTCGCTGATTAGTTTGACTGTGGCTTTTATCCCAGGATGCGATATTTTATTCATAGCTCCAAAAACGTTTTATGTTAGTGGCTTAGGAATAAATGGTCGTTGTCGGCCCGTAGAAGTAGCACACGTGATGCTTTTTCGAATGGAATTTCTTATACGTCTATATAGCCTCTACTGACAGATGAAGTTTTCGGGTATGTCCTCGCAAAGTGTCCGTTAATGTTTGTAATATTATTGCGCAGTTTGGAATAAATTTTCCGTAATAATTTATTGGTCCCAACAATCGTCGCAATTTCTTTTGTGGTTCGGGAAACGGATAACTACGAATAGAAGCACCCTCTGTTGGAAATGGCATTAAACCTTGAGAATTTATCATATGATCCAGGAATTGCAATGATTCCTTTCCAAATTCACACTTTTCCACGTTAATAGTGACGCCATGTTCTTGAAGTTTCAGAAACAACTGTCATAGATTTTGTACGGTAACGCTGGCTACTGGTATATCATCGATATATGCGTGTACTTCTGTCAAACCTCCAACAACCTGACCAATGACTTGCTGGGAGGTTTGGGCTGCATTAGTTAATCCAAAGGGCATTCGCCGTTCTTGTTATGTGTTCTGGTGCCATGGGAATGTAATCGGTCCGAACAAGATCAATGTTTGAAAAATTCGAGGAATCTTCCATATCAGTAGTAATGTGGTGGTTGTGCGGCGCCGGATATCTATTTGCCACAGTTTGTCTGTTAAGGGTTCTACAATCTCCACATGGCCTGAACCATATGCAACGGCGATGACCAGGGACTGTTAGATAGCCTTATGATCATCAATTTTTGGGTCTAACGTTCGTGGTCTTGCGGTTGTCGGTAGGTATTTCGTTAGAATATGGTGCTGCACAGTATGTTTAAGATCTGTATTATCTCATGATGCCCTCGCCAAAGCTGTTGACTACTACTACCTATATCACTCTCGTCTTTTCACACTACTAAATTCATAGAAACGTGATCGGTGGTCACTCTTTTTATCACTACTGAATGGTCTCCATTCACCAGCCCGTTTCGTCGGGAATCCACTAGTAAGTTGAGATTCTTTAAAAAATCAATACCAATTATAGGCACGAATACATCTGCGACAATGAATTCCCAGCAAAATGAAGTACTACTACCAAAATTCAAGGTTTGTTGTCGCTTTTCATGTGTTTTTATATCGGATTTGTTTGCTGCTTCAGGGTTAGTGTCGTGCTAATGTTTGTCGCTCACTGGGGGCACGACGCTTATCCCTCCCCCCGTGTCTACTAAGAATCGATCTCCTGTTACTCTGTCCTGTACATAAACTATTGTTTCTAGGTGTGCTAGATGTCGCAGCCTTTTCCGACAACCGATGAGATCGTTTAACTTTGCATGATTTATAGTTTCGCGCTCTGACGTCGGACGGTTGGTGGTACCGGCATATTGTAGGAGCTGAGCATCTCCCAGAGCATAATCGGCTTATATCTCTCGATCAACTTCGCGACCACATCTCACTGTCGCTCTGATTTAGGTTGTTTGTGGCACATAACATAACATCTGTTTTTGTAATGCATCGATTCTTTCATCTTCTGTGAAGTGCCTTTGTCTCATAAATCCTATCGGCTATTTTAGTGATTTATGAATGCAAGGATCTGTTGGACATTCAGTGGGAGTCGTCGGATCCATTGACTTTACTGTCCCCGATTATACTACACATAACTTTTTTGACTGCGATCAAATCCTATCCCCGATTCGCACTCGACTGAGCAGCTGCTCGGCGGTTTGCCGGTTTGTTAACGAAACGGCTTTTATCACTGCTTGCTTTGATACGTCGTATGATCTTTCCGCGTTCGACTGAGGTATGACCTCTCCTACATTATCTGCTTCTTCATATGGAATTAGTGAACTTGCGTGACGAAATTTATGTTGTTGTAAACGAACACCGGTTTAAAGAAGGATTGGGAGAATGTACGAAGACCAAAGCATTATTAACCCTCAAACATGGAACTACTCTCGATCCAAAAGACCTATACATTATGCAGCGCTACCTATTTTTGAACAAGAATCAGAACGCCTACAAAGAAGTGCAACCATAGGACCAGTGATTTTTTCTGATTGAGCAGCACCAATAGTGATTGTTAAATAGCAGATCATGTCACTGGATTAAATGAATTACTTGAAACCTATCAGTACACTTCAATGTTACCAGAAGACTTATTTGCGAAACTGAATGGGGGGATTATTTTGCAAAACTGGACCTACAGATTACAGTGGCGGAAGAGTGTAAGCATTACTTGACAGTAAACACTCATAAAGTGTTGTTCCGACATAACAGACTTCTGTTCGGAGTAAAGACCGCCCCTTCAATCTCTCAACAAGTTATGAACACCATGCTACAAGATATTCCAGGTTCTGCGGCCTATCTCGATGACATATTATTCATCGGTATAGACTATGCTGACTTATTTGCGACTTGAGAGTGTTATAACGGGTGTGAGACTGCAGGTTTTGATAAACAGCGTATTTATCGATCGCTTCTGTGACAGTGACACGCAGAACACGGAGTGGACGACCTAGTGCCCCGATTGGCCCTGCTTCGCAGTCTGTCCTAGCCAGTTGAGTCAAGAACACAAGTCACAGCCTCTCAGTTATGAATCATTATATTTCAAACTTACTTTGTTTATATACCAATCAAGCATACCACATCGTACCATAAAATGGAAAACAACATTTTGTACAATATTCAACAAGTGAACAGATATCGACCAATAGGAAATCACAATTGATTGATCACTGGGTGGTGATCAATCTCATGCTTATCTAGTCCTTATTAGTGCAGATCGAATGCTATCGATCATGTTGCAATGTGGCCACCAGTCTAGGTGACTCGACACTGCGGGCACTATGTATTGATATTTAGATGGTAGTTGGAGGTAGTCAACAGGAAACCCTGGACCCGGGTTTCGTGCTACTTGGCACTCGTCAGCAAGGTGTACCTGTAATCTTGAGGGAACTGGTGCTCCCTGGTGGATTCGATCTCGTGTCACCCAGCTTCACAGTCAGAGACGTTACCACTGAGTTAGTCACGGCTCGGATAGCTCAGTGGTAACGTCTCTGACTGTGAAGCTGGGTGACACGAGATCGAATCCGCCAGGGAGCACCAGTTCCCTCAAGATTACAGGTACACCTTGCTGACGAGTGCCAAGTAGCACGAAACCCGGGTCCAGGGATTCCTGTTGACTACCTCCAACCACCATCTAATCTCAACCAATAGGAAATGTCCATTTAAAGTCCAAGGACACCATTGGACTTAACATGATAATTATTGGTCTATTCCTCCGCATCGACAACAGAGAGGGTTCTAGCGTCTCAGTGCTCAAATTATACGCGGCATATTAGGAATCTAAGCTCTAGATATAACACCTATCCAGTCAGAAACAATATCAGTATCTACTCTCGAACGTCACACGTCAAGGCATATGCAGTTCCGTAAACCGGGTTAATC